TCTTTCCAATTATATGGCTAACTTTGTGGCCAAGATTATGATCATTTTTATCGTTACCTTTCTTTTTTTTCTTCCTCGTGTTCCCCTTCTCGTGCAAACCTATGTCATCTTTACCATTAACATTTTCATCAGAATATTTCCTCTTGCTCTTTTTATCATTTCTTTTATCATATGATGAGCTCTCCATTTGGTGTTCCTTTCTTTCACCTTTAAGTATTTCTTCGATCACCTTTCCATTTGATACACCGGAACCCTTGTCATTACATGGCTTCCCCTCAGCACCTGTCTGAATTCCCTTCGAACTATTATTTTCATCCTTCAGTTCTAAAATATCGTCATTTGTTTTTTTCTCGCTTTCCTTAATTTTGCTGCATTTTTGCTTCATTAACATTTTGTCATTCTTAATCGAGGACGTGTTCGTTTCTTTCCCCTTCTTTAGGGTTTCTCTGGAGGTGCATTTTTTCGTACCCTGTTTGGGCACATCCGCTTTGGATTCCCCTCCACATTCATTTGTGTCATGGTCATGCTTTTCCAACCCAGTTGGGGGGGCAACCTCGTTTCGTTCCACCTCTCGTTTCGCGGTCTTTTTCTTGGTTTGTTTCTCGGTCACCACTTCGGTCTCTTCTCCTATGAAGTTATCCTGCCCCGCTTTCAGTCTTTCACTCCAGCCATAACTAGCACCCGCATCCGCTATACTATAATCAGTACACCTCCCCTTTTCGCATGCCTCTGCACCCTCCAGTGCGTCCTTATCCTCCTTGTACTTTTCGTGCGGGTACCCTTCGCAGTAGCTAGAACAACTGGTGTCATCCTGAGTCTCCATGCAAAATGGTATTCCTTTTTTACTTTGAGATGCCAATTTGTGACCCTCGTGTAAATCTAAGGGTATCTTTTTCTCTTCTACATTTTTATCCCCTTCGCCTTCCTCAAAATGTGTGTCTGTATAGTTGATGTTGCAACTCTTCTCATTCTTGTTGACATACCCCACTTGCTGATTCCATATTTCATTTTTTTTTGTCTCATTTGTGCAATCATCTTTCAGTACATGTTGATTCATAACTTTATAAGAATTGTTTCCGTTTTCTGTGTTTTGCGTGTGCACTAGATTTTTGTGGCTACTTTCCAGATTCATGTTATACGAATCTTCGCTGTTACGGAGCTTATATTTTAAATAAATTTTTTTTTTTTTTTTAAAGTTGTATTAAGCTTTTAACTTCATTTAAAATGCTGTTTGAGTAAGCACCACCACCTTGCGCACATTATATATGCTTACGCATGTGCGTATGTACTTGTATCCAGAGTTGTAAACTGAAGCATATCATACCACCTGGGTGTTGCAAAAAAAGAAAACAGAAAAAAGGACGAGTTAATATTTACTTCTGACTGATGTAAAATCGTGGATCTATTCTTCTGTGCATATTAACATTTTATTTTCTTAAAGTAGTCTTAAGGCATCACACGACATTTTTTTTTATTTTTTTTTTTTTTTGCCTTGTTATTTTGCAGTATGGAGGCTGGAAAATTAACACAGCATTTCACATTGTTATAACCGCGTATACACAATACGCGTTAATGTACGTGTATTTGTATTTTTCTTTTTGTTTTTTTATTTATTTTTCTTCTTTTACTTTTTTTTCCTTCGTTTTGGCGAATTCCTACATTCAGAATAATCAGGCGAAAGAAATGCAACAAATAATGGCCTACCAAACAATCTCAAAAATACATAACATGTACGTTTTCGTTCTTGAAATAATTAAAAAGGTGTTGAGGAAAATTTTAGTGCATGGTGTGTATTTCCCCCAAGGACGCATAAGTATTTTGCTCTATTTTTTTTTTTTTTTGTTTAAGAATTATTTGCTTGCCATAAGTCGTCTCTCATGTGTGACATTCCTGGATAATTTTACACAAATGGAACTTGGATCTCACGCAAAAAGAGTGTGCTTGCAAAGTGGAAAATAAAACAAAAGGGCATAAAAGGTGAAAAAGCTGCTTATCGGATAAGCCGTTGAAATGCTGCAAAAATGTTACGCATACACATTTTGTTACTTCCAGATTGGCAAAATCGCAGAGTATAAGTACTTTTCCAATTTGTTCCCACAAACATGCTAGTTGCACATTTGTTTGTTTTTTTTTTGAGCCCATTTGGTGCCATTCTTGGAGCCCAAATGTGTAAACGCATTTTCCAGTTCTCTTTTTTATATGATACCATTTCATCCTTATTTTTTATTATTTTTTTTTTAACGTTTTTTCTTGCCTTATTTGTAAATTGTGCTCATTACACACTTTGGAAACATTCTGCCCTTCACCCTTTAAAACCTTCTGAATTTTCACCCAATATAATGTTAAATACGTGCACAGAGAAGAGTTCCACACGAATGAGTACCCTATGGTAAGCATACCTACATGTATCATCATCTAAATGACACCATCACAGGACGACATCCCTAGCAAGTAAACAATTTCAATTTTTATTCCACACACTGGCAGATTTGGGCTTATCACATTCCCCTTAAGGTAAAAATGAATTTGTTGCAAAAACACACTAAATTAATTGCACATGCGCCTTTGCCATATGAAGCGGAACATAAAAAGGAATAAAACAAATAGGCGACAGGGTGGGTTAAAAAAAAAATTGGTTAAAAATATCATACAATTTGAATTTTACAAAGGTAGAATTCCTTTTTTTTCTCCTGCACAATTTTTTTAAACAAAAAAAAAGATCTGCATAAGTATACTCTTCTAAAGGGGTGTGCATAAAAACTACAAACATGACAACACAAATAAAAATACAATTCAAAAAGATGAGGTTAATATGGTACAAAAAAAAAAAAAAAAAAAATTAATAATCATAACTGGGAATATGCAGGCAAAAAAAAAAAAAAAAAAAACGATAAACCGCGAACATAAAAAATTAACATAAAAATTTGGACCATGGTTGCGTGGATTCAACAAAAAAAGACAAGCTGTGAAAAGGTTCCACAACAATATGATTAGAACATAAAGACACCCTCGCAAGACAGATGGTTTTATAAAAGGATAAAAAATATATTTACAAAATTGTGGAAAAGTAAAACACTACAGTGGGGTGGTGCTCCTGCCCCCACCCCCATCACAAAAAAAAACAAAAAAAAAATGTTGTTAAGACAACGCATGACACTTAAATGGTAAATATCTCCAAAATGTGCCCATTTCTCTATGCTTTACGGATCCCACACATCCCTGGGGCATTACGAAAACTGCATTATTCCGTACTTGTTAAAAATAAAATTTAAAAAAGTTTCCAAACAAACATTTTTAACAGCGGGGTTAACGCCTATTTGCATGTACTCATACAAATTGTAAACATTGCTGCAAACATTTTTATGCCACAAATAATTATTTTTTTTTTTCTCCTCCACTTGGTGAATACAATTCCTAGTACAACTTGTTCTACTCAATTCGGAATGCAAATGATTATGTAGTATTTCCCCTCCATTTTGAAGAAAACTGTTGACGTCTGTTTTTGCCGAATTGTCCACATCGTTACAACCATTACAACCCTTATTTTCCCTTTTTAAGTAAGCGTTATTATACCTATCCTTTTCTCCTTTCTTTTTACCCTTAACGTATTTTTTCACACCTCCCATCCCAGTGTCTGGACCTACATTAGCGAACACATTATTTCCTTGATTGTTCAGTTCGTCAAACAGGGCACCATTATAGGGGTAAGAAACGTTGTAGGCACTAACGTAGCTAATGAAGGGGAATATCAAAAGGGCTACCTGTTGCATTAGTAAAAAAAAATCGATTACTGTTAAGCCTTGGTTTTTGTTAATGTACTTGCTGAAGAACACTTGCCTCATAAATAAATACTCCAAGTCGTATATGTTCATTTTTTTTCTCCTCTTGCTCTTGTACTTGGTACTCCCAATTCCTATGGTGTTGAAATTCACCAGATTGTTTGACGTTGGGACTAGGGAAAAGGGGCAGAAGATGGAGGCGTAATACGAGCCGTTTCCGGGCTGTTCCTTGCAGCGGCTGTGGCTGCGAGTGATACATTCATTGTAGGTATTGTTACCATTTCCGCCATTGCCATCATTGCCATCATTGTCACCATTGCCACCATTGCCACCATTTCCCCCTGTGACGGTAGAACACTTTGAAGCTTCTTCCCCCCCTCTAGCCCTGCGCCTGTAAATGCGGTCCTCTGACAAAATATCGTTTGACAAATCAGTGGTGTCTCCAAAGCTGGAGTTGTTCGAGCAGTTCCCATCACTCACATGTCTTTTACGGTGCATTCCAGAATTCCCTTTGCTGTCGCAATTTTTATTTTTCAAGACCTCCTTAACGATTTGAAATATTTGATTTTCATGCGTGCTTTTATTTATCTCAAACAAATTATTGTAACTGCTAGTGGGGATATCTACATTTTCAATTATTTTATTTATTTTTACATCTGCACACATGCAAAGGAAGGTACTTTTGTCAATATGATATTCGACCTTCTTATTATTCTTCTTCAAATTCTTGTCATATTTTTTTAGCACAAAATCGAAAAGAAAATAACAATCATTGTATATTTTCATTTCGTTATAATATTTGCTCGTTTCCTTTTTTAAATTTATATATACGTTCTTTTCTAGTACATTATTTTTTAGGGGATGTAAAATATCCTTCCTGATTTTTGTGTAAGTCTTTTTCAAGTCAAACGAAATGTTTTTATTGTACAGTTCTTCAAAATTGTTTATGTCATTATTGTTTATGTAGCGAATGCCCAGCACATTTAAGCAGTTCATGTATTTATATAAGTTACTCCTAAGCATAATAAAATTTTCAATTTTCTTTTTATACACACTGTCACTAATATTTCTTGAGAGTGCTTTGTACGTTTCCACGTCATCGTTTAGGAATCTATCAAATTGAATATCTTCTTGATTATCGATCTGTACATATGTCTCCTTATTTAGAATGTTGTTCTCGATTAGTTTGTTTTCCTTTTGTAGTAATTCTTCATAACTGCACATTTTGTTCATTTCTTCTACACCTGGGTCTTTCTCCCCTCTGCTGGAGTACCGCAATTGCCCCTCTTTATTACATTCCGCGCTTAAAACGCAATTCTGATTTTCCCCTAACTGGTTAACAAAGTTCCTGTCCACATATTTCACACTACCATCACTGCCGTCACCGCTACTATAACAGTCGTATGCGTACGTGCTCCTACTTCCCTTTTTTGTGCCCCCCATAGCATTCGATTTTGCGTATCCCCCACTGTGCACTTCGCTATCTTCATAGTCCATATCTGAGCTGGTATACACTCCTTCGTCGTAACTGACCGCGTCCTGGTTTGCATACCTTCTCTTCACATTTGTTGCTGGTCTCCGTGGATGATCTCCCCCAAGGGTATCATCATCATGTGTTTTCTGCATTATCCCGTTTAGATAACCAGTGGTGCTATTGGATGGTCGGCTGGAATTCCCGCCGTTATGTCCGATTTCTGCGCTCATTTCGTTCGACATGATTCCCTGGTTTGGCGAGGCTTCCCCACCGTTTTGGTTCATCACCCTTGTTCCGTATCCGTTCTGCACCTCCTTATTATTGCTGCTGTCCAGTTGGCTGCTCCCGCCCTCAGCCTCGTTGTCCATTTCGTTGGACAAACTGAAGCTTCCGATATCATTCTCATCAACGCAAGTATCCACGATGCTCATGTTTTCCTTTTTCAAGAATAAATCATTCTTCGTTTTTACCTTCCTTTTTATCTCCCTGTTCATGACCTGCGCATTACTCCCCAGCTTCTCCTTTTGCGTACCACTCAATTTACACTTTATTATTGACTCACACTGGTCAGTACACGATAAGTGTTCTGTGCACCCCTTTTGAGGGAAATTTTTTCGACCACCTGAGAGCACCTTGCCTACAACGCTATTTAGAGTGCAGCCGGTCCTTTTGTCAATTTTTTTATTGCAGGTTATGTCCGATTTAAGATTTTCCTTTGGCAAATGAGTGCTATAATGCTCGTCTTTTTCCCCCACCTTCTCGTCCATTTTTTTGCCCATTTTTTCGCTGACCTTTTCGCCCACTTTTTTTCCTATTTTTTTTTTGTGCACCCCCCAATTCTTGACATTCCTGATATTTACGGGCACAAACGTATCGTGCGTGAACCCGCTTTGAACCTTCACTCTGCCTATTCTGTCAGTTCTTCGCGCTTTCCCACCTTTGGCACCTTTACCCGCTTTTTCCGCCTTTCCCGTTTTCCCCATTTGGTCTTCCCCAATATTATTACCGCATGGGTGTGTGCCCCTGTTGCCCCTTTTCCATAAATACTTTTTATAAATTTTCCGATACACGATTAAAAACATTTCGCTTATCACGGGCTCCTTCACGTACCTGTCGAACATGCTCTCTAACTGTATTTCAAAGTTGCTGTACCTTGGGTCAATATAGTCAATGCGGAGGGACGGATTGGAGTTAACCTCCAGCAACCACGCTTTGCCAGTATCATCTAACAGGATGTCTAACCCAATTAACTGATAAAAATAAAAATTGTTATTAAAATTGTACTTTATCTTTTCCTTAATGTAAGAATAAATTGCCAAAGAGGTTAGACAAGTAATTTTCTTTATCTGTTTCCATATATCATCAATGTCGTATCCATTATTCTTCAGGTAAATAAAAACATCACTCAGTAATTGCTTATTATTATTCTTATCATGAATGTTTTTTTTTCTAATATATTTCTCATTGTCTTTATTAATGCTATAGTTAGTTAAATGTATAAAGGTGTTGTAAATGTATCTCTTTTTCTTTTTATATTCCTCTGTACACAATCTAGCAAACCCAATTTTGGACAAGTATATTTTAGGGTAATGTTTCCCTGGCAGTAATAAAATGTATATACGAAAATCAAATTTCTTCTTATACATCAGTAGGGGGTTGTCTATATACTTTTGAATAATATAGCAATTGTACCCATTCAAAATATTTACGTTAATGTCGCTATATTTATGTATTACTTTGACTCCGATTCCCATGCTTCCACAATCTGGCTTCATAATATAGTAATCCTTATTATTACTGTTCAGAATGTACTTTATAATATTTTTATTTTCTGGCAATACAAATGTGTTTGGGTAAAAGTCATATAGGGAGGGAAAAATCAGGGATAAGTGAGACAGTAAAAAGGTTAAGGCCTTTTTCTTCGTATACATATACATGGATGGAATTCTATTTATAATTTTTTTCTTCTTCATATAATTGTAATGGTCAAAATCGGTTATGTTATATCCTATCCAGTAGAAGATTCCTTTGTTTGCATTGTCAATGCATTTCTTCCAATTTAGTTTGCTAATACACGTGTGGATGAGCACCCTTTCGTACCTGGCCAACTTGGTGTTTATGGTGATATTACTTTTCCCTCTCATGCTCCTACTTCTGTAGTTCACTTTAACAATGTCATCCTTCTTCCACGGTAGGGCTACTTTTCGCGCTCGCCTCCTTCTCTCTCCTTCGTCGCTCGGTTCGCGGCTGCCACCGTCCAGGCAACACATGTCGCTCATACCGCTTACACAACTCATACCACTTACTCCGCTGCTCCGACTGCTGCCCCGATGGTTGTTACCATGCACACACTTATCCCCATCAGATTCGCCCTTATGGAACGCCCCCTCCGAGTCACTCACCCCATCGACTCTCCTTTCAGCGCCACCATTAACGGGGCCCTGCTCTACGTTACTTCCTCTAAAAGGTGCCAAAAAATCGTTCCCTTCCTTGTCCCCCTTCTGCGAAGAGACATTGAACGCTTCCCCCACTTGGACATGACTATCCGCGTGGTTCTCCCTACCAACTAACTTCATATATTCAGAATGGGAACTGTCCTTTAAGTGCACCTCGCACTGTGCTCCATTATTCCTATTATTCGTTTTTTCTGAGAACAACTCATTACAAATAGGGTAGTTAATTTTCTCATTTGGCGCGACTGAATTAGTGCATTGTGTTTCTCCAGCTTTATCACGGCTCATGTTATGAACTTCCTCTTCCATATTGGTACCCTTGCCCCTTGCATTATCACCCCCTACACACACTTTATTCATATCACCCCTTTCAGGGCTATTCACACATGGAACATTCCTCTCCTGAACACTGGAACTGTGTATATTCATTCTTAACTTTCCCTTCTCGCTTCTCATCTTGGCATTTCTATTCAAATTATTTAAGTGATAAATATACGAGTCGGTTAAGTTTTCCATGCTGTACTTCTTCATGGCGCCCTTTTTTAATTCGTTTATATTCTTATTCAAAATGTCTTTTCCCCTTTTTCCTGTACCCCATTGTATATTTCCTGCATTGGTACTTTGGTAATTATTCCCATGTGAGAGATTTTCTGGTGTCAACACTTCATACAAATGGTACTTTTCCTGTTTGTCACTTTTAACCATTTTATTGCTGTCCTTCGCATCTCCTAAAACAACACTCGGGTTGGGTGGGGACAACAAGTTCACTTCGCAAATCTGCTCATTGCGCTTGTCCAAATATTTTTTTTCCACACCTACGTGGTTTTCTTCTTCCCAGCTTTTGCAAAGATTCGCAAGCGACTGCCTATTGTGTATGCTTCCCTGAACGTAGCCCCCTGCTCCTCCTTCTCTTTTCCCTTCATTTTTTACATGACCCCCCAATTCATTATCATCACCATTGTTATCATTATTGCCATCCTTATTGGCATCGTTAATGTTGCTATAATTGTCAACCTTAAATGCAGTTTCGTGTCCCTGCTGCTTGGAACTACCTCCCTGAGCCGGACCCTGTCCACCACTGACAACGTCAATGCAACATGCTTCATTCCGTTGCAACATCGGAGTGCCTGTCTTCGGCATACTGCTTCGTGTAACGTTACTAATATCAAGGCCACCATTTTGGGTGCATAAATGTACCTTCTTTTTGTCATGTTCCCGGGCTGCTTCACTTACTTTTTCCTTCACCTCTTCCTTATGAAATACAGTTCCATCAACGTTCGCACAAATGTCTAACGTATCTCTTTCATCACAACACATATTGGATCTCCCTGGTGCTGTTTCTCTCAAGTAGGTACCTTCACTTGGTACATTAAAATTCATTTCTCTCTCTACTTTCCTGCTTAATTCATTTCCATTTTCATAAAAACGGACGATATCTCCATCTCGTCCCCCACTAAAGTTAATGCCCTTACTCACACAAGACAAATTGCTATTGCTATCCACCATTACGTTATTACTTTTAACATGTTCCTCTTTGGGGACTGATATTGTACTTCCTAGGGGGGGACTGTCACCAGTAGCCCTTTCCTGTGCTCTGTTCAAACCCGCGAACTGCACTACACTGCTAAAGTAGTTAGCGGCATTTCCATTTCGTGCTCCATATACAACACTTGTTTTTTCATCGTCATTTACACTGGGATCTTTGCTGTTACCTATGTAGTAACCACTTTGAGGGTAAATTTTCTCCGCCGTCTTGCTCTTACATGTTTCATTTATTGCCATTTCGAACGTGCTGGCTTTATCCGGACCTCTAGCTACTCCTCCCCAGTAACTTACATCTCCACTAGGTATGTGTGCAATTACGTTAATATTACTCTGCTTATCCGTTTCTTCTACACCATTATCATTTCCGTGATTGTTCTTATTTTCCATCTCAGCTCCCATCCTTTTAACACAGTTGCGGCTGACCACGTTTACACTTATGTCATTGTTGCTCCTATTTATATTTTTTGAAACCGCACCTTCGCTACTTTTATTGACATGGGGGGGAGAAGGTGGATTAATATAACCATTCCGAATACGACTCACTCCTTTGGAAAAAATCACATGGTCACTACCCCCATTGCTTGTGCTGCCATTCCTCACACCCTTAATATCATTCGGACAACCGCTACCATTATGGTTCCAATTTTGAGAGATTTTTCCTTTAAGTGTATAATACCTTTGAAGGTCTTCATTTTTAAATTGCCTTATATTTTTTTGAGCGATGGAGCTGTATTCTTTTGTTCCCTGGTCCTCCTGCGCAGTGTAGTACGCAATTGGACTCACAAAATTGCATCTGCTTTGGTTTAAGTTCTTGTGTAGGGTGAAATTATATCTTTCATTATTACCATCCATTTGGGCATTACGCCTATGTCCTGGTTCGGGTTGGACGTACTCCAAGGCGGTGTGGCTGCTTTCTTCGCTGCATGTTGCTTCTTTGTTGCTGGCATAAAGGCATGGTGCTCTGCCATTCTTGTAAGCCATGCTTTCTTTACTCAATATGGTTAACGGGTTGTTCTTACAACGTTGACTGCCATCGCCTTCGTTGTTGCCCAGTTGGTCGTTCCCGCGTTGCTTGTTGTCGCTTGCTTTGCCGCACGCGCCCCTGAACTGGTTATGCTTCTGCAGAGCAAACAAATTACCATAACTGCCGCTGTACCATTTGCCATTTTTCGACGAACATGTGAACAGATTGCTTCTCTGCACCGCGCATGGGTCACCAAACCTGTTCGTGTATCTGTTCTGTTGTACATTGAGTACTGTTCTATTGGGCGGTTCACATATATTAATATCCCTCTTCAATCCTGCTTCTGTATATTTGCTTCCGTTTGCGCTTTGCATCACGTAACGGTTTTCCCCTCCTGTCCGTTGTAAATGCATCGCGTGAACAACCTTTTCTCGAGGGGTTGCTTTTGAACTGGGTTGTTCTCCCATTCTCTGTTCATTCGAAATAAGTACAGATGGGTTGAATTGATTTTCCGCCCTCTTCGAATATCTTACACTTTTCTGACTAATACTTTTAAGAGAATTGGTTCTACTAAGGAAATTTTCATTTTGATTTTTCCAATATTGATTTTCCTTTGGGGGGGCCCCACTTCCACTTGAGGTCAAGTGCGTCATAGGATGTGCATTCCTGTGCAGTGGACCACTTCCCTTGGTTAGCATTTCACTTGTGACATGGTTGCCCTTCCGGCTGTTCTTACTGCTGATATCATCGGGGGGCTGCCCAAGCTTGGCACTGCTGAGAGGACTCATAGGCAGAATACCCGTCGCCTTAGTGGACATCCTTTCCTGTGTGACATTTTTTATCCCCATTTCGATAACATGATTTTTCTTTTCATTTTCATTCCCATTCATGTGGCTCAGTGACCTTCCAATTTTGGCATTCCCGTAAAACTTATCGCTATGTAGTGCTTCATTTTTCATGCTTAATTCAAGGGAGGGGACATTCACATATTTTTTTAAGTTAGCATCCAAACCCCAATTGGGGTAAGCATTACTTCTAGGTATTAAATTACTACCTTGGTCACTATATTGATTATGCTTACGATCAACATATGCTACTTGCCTTTGTTCATAATTGTCTTTTATATTAATATCCACCTGAGGTACGTAATCCTTAGGAGGGCACCATTTTTGCTTTAAAATTATCTTTCCATTTTGAGCCGTACTATTCGATATCCCTTTCTGTATCGCGTAGTCAGGATAATTAGATTCATATTTGAGCAAAGCATTTTGTAGGGGGTAATACGGATTCTTCAATTTGTACGCATTGAACACTTTGTGCGGGTTGTATAATGAGTACGCACTATTATTTACACTCTTTGCATTTCTACGGAAGGAACTACTGTGCTTCCCCACTTGTCTAGACGTACAACCGTTCGAAAATTCAACAAATTTGTGTGCCCTATGTGGTGGTAACACCGGTTCCTCCTTTTTAAGGTTTTTTATTACTACTTCTCCAATGTCCATATTTTTCCTTGTTGAAAAATTTACGTTATTCAATTGCGTATACTGATTACGTGCACTTTTTAACAGGGTATGCTTTGCGCCATCTTTTGACACGTTTCCTCTTTTCCACCCATTTTCATCCTTGTTATATGCGCTGCTGAACAGCTTACTCAACGTATTCATATTTCTACACTCCTATCGTGTTTGCACTGGAGATATATCCCTCAATGTGTACATATGCAGGTGTAAATGAATCCCCATGTGTTGTGCGCTTCCCTGTTACGTGACTTACACGGCGGGGGGAGGAGCAGCTCTACCTTTCTATATTTAATCTGTTCAATTGTGTCAGTTATAGTGCTACAAGGGTTATATCTACGTGTTGGACCGAAAAGTGAAAAGTAAGCTGCTGTTAATTATGCTTCGACTTCGTTTCGACTGTGCTTCAATTATGCTTCTTCACCCCTTTGCCGTTTCATTATACCGAGAAACGGTACGCATATCAGTATGTACACGAATATACACACACCGTTACGCCCAAATTGCCAGAAACAGTTGCGTCATTTTCTTCCCACTGCACACCTTCCCATGTGGGGGCATGTCAACCACTTCATAAATTGTCTTGGACAAAATAAAAAAAAACTGGACAGATAAATTTTCAAAAAGTAGCTCTACAAGAATATAGACAAAGTTTCCTGATTAAATCACTCCACCCCCAGTAATGCGGGAACAAGGATTGCGTTTGTCCTTTTGGTAAGCAGGAAACCCATTTATTGTGAACAAAAAACAGGGCACAAAAATGGGAGAGCCCGCTTAAAACAGTTCGAATAAGACTGCACACACACAAAAAAAAAAAAATAATAAACAATTGAGCAAGCAAATGGGTAAGCAAATGAACAAACAAATAATCAAACAAACGAGCAAATGAGAGAAGCGAAATCACACGCAACCACTCCAAATGGACATAATTTGAATTGTACAAAAAAAAAAAAAAATAAATAAATACTTTCATATCCCAGTTGTAATCATGCACATTTAAAAACAATTGTATTTCGAGTTTCTCTTTTTTTCTCTTACCATCTTGAACATTTTTACGCATATAGGTAGAAATTATTTTAAGCCATGCATCATTCCCTTGCACACTACATGTGTAATGAAAAGAAACAACTTCGCGCAGTATAGCGTGCAAACCCCAAAGAGCAACACAACGCATACGTGCTGTACCTGCTAACTGCCAGTGCGCAATGTGCCCTTACAATGCTAATCACAATGAAGTCCGCACAAATGTGTTTAACAAATGTAAGGCATAATCCCAGGTCTATGTCAAAAAAAAAAAAAAAAAAAAAAAAAAAAACACGAAACATAAAATAGCAGAACAGACGTGTACGTACAATAGTCTAGTTGTTCAGTTTGCCAATAATGAGAATAATATAAAAAACAAAGCTGCGCATTTCTTTTAGTAAAATATTTGCACAAATATATGCCTTTTTACTAGATGTGAAGGAAAAAGCTTAAGGTCGGAGCTAAAGAACGGCAAATGCTACAACAAAAAAAAGAAGACACTCTCTTCAAACAACGTTGAATATGCTAAGTACACACCTCCACAGGCTTTCTATTACCTAATTTGGAAAAACTAAAAATGCATAAAATAAATCCGGCATTCCATGCGCAAATCGGGATTATGAATAGTTCAAAGCATTTTTTTTTTTTATTGCAACCTTGGACAAAAAACAGGTTATGTTTAAGATCAAAAAAAAAAAAAAAAAAAAAA